CAGCAGGAACGGGGACACCTCCCACCCCCTGCACAGCCCTCGCAGGGAAGGCTGACTCCGCACTCTTCCTCCATCCATTATAGCCTCGGAGGAGGGCAAAGTCCAGCAGCGCAGCTGCTCCAAACGTAACGCAGTTTGAGTGTCCAAACATAACGCAGACACCGTGTCCAATGGGGAACCGCTAAGCAAGCGTGGATGCTGCTCCACGGTCACTGAGTGCCGTGACCAGAAGGGGCTTGTCCGCACAGTGAAAACGAGCCGGACGCTTGGGTAGACAGACAGGGTAGAGGGAGCTTCCTGAACCTGGAAACCTCGGAGGGCATCTACAGAACCCACAACCCATGTCACACTCAACAGGGAGACTCGATGTCCCCCCAGATCAGGGAAGTGACGTGGGGGCCTGCTCTTCCCACTTGGAAAGGAAGGAGCAAAACTATTTCTAACTGCAGAAAGGGTGATTTTGTATACAGAAACCTAAGGAATCCTCTAAGACTGTTAGAAACAGCAAGTTCTGCAAGAATGCAGGATACAAGATCAATGCAGGATACAAGATCAATGTGCGAGAGACTTTTATTTTTACACTTATGACAACTTCAAAATGACTTTGAGAAAACAATCCCACTCAGGATTGTATCAAAAAGAATAAAACGCTTAGAAATAAATTTAACAAAAGCAGCATAAAACTTATACTCTGAAAACTACAAAACACTGTGAAAAGTAATGAACACCTAAATAAATGTAAAGACATCCCATGTTCATGGACTGGGAGACAAAATATTGTTAAAATAGCAACACTCCCTGAACTGCCCTATAGATTCAGGGCAATCCCTCTCAGAATCCCAGCTGGCTTCTTTGTTGAAATTGACAAACTGACCCTAAAATTCACCTGGAATCTCAAGGAACCTGGAATGATCAACACAACTTAAAACAAGAACAAACTGGATGCTCACATTTCCAATTTCAGAACTCACTACGATGAAACAGTAATGGACCAGAAGACAGAGGCCAGAAACAAACCCTTGCACGTACAGTAGAAAGATTTTTGACAAAGGTGTCAAGACCATCCAGTGAGCGGGGAGTCTCTTCAACGTGATGCTGGGACACTGGCATTCCCACACACAGAAGAATGAGGCTGGACCCTCCCGCCTCACACCACATCTAAAAAACTAGCTCAAGCTGGATCAAAAACCCAAACGTTAAGAGCTGACGTTGAAAACACAGGGATGCATCACAACCTTGGATTTGGCAATGACACCCGTAAGTGCAAATCAACTCGGCAGTCACACAATGACACACCAGCAGATGGCAAGTGACACACAACCACACCCACCCGAGGGATAGGCCTCACATGTAGGAAGAGGCAAAATCTATAGGGCAAGAAGTCAGGAGAGCGTCACCCTCGGAGGGCGGCCAGCAGAGGGCATGGGGGTACAAGGATGGTTCTGCTCCCTCCTCTGGGTGCTGGCAAAGGGATGTCCACGTGTCTGGACACTTAAGATTCGTCTACTTGTCTGTATGCTAGTCACCCGTCAATTTAAAAAGTTAAAACACTCTAACCCTCAAATCAGAAGCCACAGGGGTCAAGTTGCAGGCCCTGAGTTGGTATTCACATTGGCAAGTCTATGCCACCCAAAGGCATTTAGTCAGTGATTCTGGGGCCAGTAAGAGAAAAAATAATGTACTTCTTGTACAAAGAGCAGGTCACAGCTTACTGACCCGCATGCTGGGACTGTGAGAGACAATCATCATGTCTCATTTCACTGGAATTTGGGAAAGGAGCTGACAGGACACTTACTGCCCTTTTGGGAAGAACACCTGCCCGACAGCTACCGCAGGGGAGAGGAGAGTGGGGGCGGGGGCAGATAATGGTTCCATTCGCACCTGGACCAAGCTGTACCTGAAGGACCCACCTACTGTTCCAGCCTTGCACAAGCGGTTATCCTACTCCTTTTGTAACTGAACTCATCTGAATTGGGTTACCATTCACAACTGAAAGCGCCCCAAATAATACACACACTACATTCTCCTTATTTTTCTCACTCACTCCAGCTGATGAAAACCATTTTACACGGGCCCTGTGGCCCTGCTGTGCTGGGGAGCCTGCAGGAGGGTACTCACCGCACACCCGGGGGCTGGCCCAGGCGGGCCCCCCTGGCCAGCTGGCCGCCCTGCCAGGCACCATCCTCTCCATCAGACCCCCCCGAACCCTGGCCCTCTTCCTCGTCCTCCTCCTCATCATCGAACTGCTGGATCCGGTCCTTGTAGCATATCTCAAGCAGGTTGGCGTTGGGCTGCGGGGGCGGGGGTGTGTGTGTTTGAGGTGAGCTGACTGCCTGCAGCCCGGCCCCACCAGCAGGGGTCGAGGCAGCACTCACGTTGTCGTCGTCGGCGTTGAGGGAGAAGGTGATGTTGGCCGTCTTGTCGAAAGGCGCGCTGCGGGAGAAGCACAGGGGCACTGAGGGGAGGCTCGGGCCACGTCCCCCGCTCATCCCCTTGCTGGACGACCCTCGCTCTCCTCGGGCCCTGTACCAGCGAACGCACCTCCTCGCTAAAGCTGATCTGTAACCCCAAATCAACTCTGGCAGCACCCTCCATCAGCGCAGATGTCTGCAGAGCGGAGTTAAGTGAGTCGCCCAAGCTGCACACCCCCAGCCGAGCGAGGTCCCACAAGAAGACGGGGTCAGGCCCCACCTAAGACTCCTGAACCTTCGTTCCTCTACCGTAAAATAAAGGACACAGAACCTAGCTGGAGAGATTGTTTTTAGGGTTTGAGATCATATGCTGGGTGACATTATTCATTTTCTATGTACACACTTCCCCCAGGAGACAGCTCACTGTTCACAGCGACTTTACTGGATGCAGCCTCACACGGGCCGCCCCACACAAAGCATCGCCCCAGCCCCAAGAGGGTCAGTCTGGGCCAAAAGAATCAGCCTTGGAGCTGAAACAAAAACGCTTCTGTGTGGGCCCCACTGCCAGCCTGAGGCAGGACCCAGACTGGGGCGAGTGATCCTAGGGATCACGGGGAGTGCGGTGCTCATCATCTCCAACTTCCAGCCTTTTAGGGTCCACATCCGCCCACACCCATCTCTGCTCAATTCTTTCTCTTTCAGAAGTCCTCACAGAAGTGCAATTCCTGGGTTAGGGAATTAAATCCATGCATTTTAAATACTGACACAAATTGTGGAAAGGGATTTGCCAATTTATACTCCTACCGCAGACTGTGCAGTTTTTCGCAGCCTCCTACTGGTTTTGTTCGCACCCTGCACCCCCTCTTTTTCCTGAGGCACCGGTCCACCCTTCTCCTGTTCTGTGGAAAGGGCTCTTTGTATCTATGCCGAGGTCCGGGCTCCACGCCACGCGGTAGGGATACTCCCCAGGTTGTTATCTGTCTCTCTGATTCAGGAGGTACATTAACAATCTCTGAGTGCTGACCTGGCACCAGCCATGGTCCAAGCACGTGACAGATGGACTCACAACCACCACCAGGGCAGGTACTCTCATCTCCTTCACAGAGATGGAGCAGCCCGCACGCACAGCTGGTAGGCCCAGCAACCAGAACCCTGCGAACAGCTCATTCAGCCCTGAGATGAAAGATACTCATCCATTTTCTGTTCCAGAGTGCTTCACGGCTTTACTCTTCTCTTACGTTTAAAGCTTTTAACCTCACTAGAATTTTTTTTTTTTTTTTTTTGCAGTACGCGGGCCTCTCACTCCTGTGGCCTCTCCCGTTGCGGAGCACAGGCTCCGGACGCGCAGGCTCAGCGGCCATGGCTCACGGG